CCCCCCCCCTGGGACCACCTCCCCAGCTTTTCTGTTTTCCATCTGTTTACTTGCTGGGGCTGTTACAGTAATAAAACATGTCCGCCGCTCCCAGTAACATCACTTGCTTCCTCCAGTAACCAGTACTGGCTTTGTGTGTTTGTACCAGCCAGCCTTCTGGGCCATTTCTCTCCATATGGGGCTGTTATGAGGAACAGCTAACAGCTTTTACATGTTCCAGAAAATTAGTTGTCAGCAGAAGCACAGCAAACAGTACGAGGGAGATTCAGAAATAACCAGGAGGATCCCTGGCTGGTATGATCACTGCTTTCTCAGACTTCCCTGCTTGTATCCATACGTATGATCTGGCATATCCCTCCACTTCAGAGGATTCCAAATGAATTTCAGCCTCTGAGATGGGCACACTTGTGAAATGGCCTGACCCTCTGGTTCCGTTCACATTTGCGTTCGTGATAATGTCGTGTGTTTGTTTGCTGGTGTACATTTTTTTTTTGCCAGTGTTCTGGGAACGTTTTGAGATTAATCCCAGGAAGGCAGACCTCATGGGAATCTTCTGGCAAAGTAAAACTCCTCTTTTTGAAGCTAATCAGCTTGTTTTTGCTTTGTTATAAACTTTGATCTGTTTTGATGCAGTGGAATTCAAATATGGGCTGATATATGGCATTAACGTGTGAATCACACCATAACTTGTGTTGTGTGATGTATTTATTACATTGTGGGGGCAAAATGTCGCAAAAATGTGGTTAAAAATCTTTTATTTTGATGTTGTGGGGATCAACTTTTTAAGTACCCAAGGGGAAACTTAATTTTATACAAATCTGGCACTGCAATCAAAAAACTAAAAATGCCAACAGTCTTGTATTTGGTTTGGTTACTTATGCTTAAGGTTAGGGCTGGGTAGGGGTTAAGGGTGTCATTGTTGCGATTAGGATTTTTCCCATAGAAATGAATGGACTTTTCCCCACAAAGTTATGAATATAAACGTGTGTGTGTGCGTGTGTGAACGTGTGTGCTTGCAGGTCTCAGCTCCTAAAGGGATCCCATTCTTCCTTCAGGAGGGCTTCCCACATTGGGCTGATGAACGCCTGGTCTTGGTGCAATTCCTCCACGTGCTCCCTGAAAGGGGCCTGCGGTGCATGCTGGGATTGCCCTCACAGAGCAGGCACAATGCTGGGTTTTGTGTGACCTGCAGGGTGTGTGCCAGCAGTGTGTTTGTGGGGGTGGGAGCCAAGGTACACAGCTCCAAAAGTGACCTGCTT